TGTTAGTATTTGCTGTGATATATGGAAAGATACTCATCATCATTTATATTATTTGAGTGTGACTGCACATTATATTGATGATGATTGGGAATACATAAAAGTGTTCTTGCTTTTCGTGAATTTAATGATCGACACACCGCTGATAATATTTATATTCTCAGCATATTTTAGTTGAGTATAATTTGATTGATAAGATGTTTGCTATTGGTTTTGATAATGCTAGTAATAATACTGTTGCTATACCTAGATTGCGTGAATTGTGTGGTTCTTCTACTTTGATGGGTAGGTTTTTTCATGAACGTTGTGCATGTCATATTCTAAATTTATGTGTAAAAGACGGGCAAGCCGCGTTGGGAGATGCTATGGAGATAGTCAGGGGCGGATCTAGCTTGGGGATCCAGGTGGGGCCAAAATTCAATTCAAAACGAATATTAAAAAAAAACATTTATTCTAGCAACAAAATCAAAGACAAAAATAAAGTTTATAGGAATAAGAGTTTACATTAAAGTCAAATACAAAAACACCATAAATTTACAAATGTTCTCTACCGGTTTTCATCGATTGATATCGTTTGATAATAACATCATTGTCAATTTTCAAGAAGTTGCCTTTTTCTACATAAACAATAAATCTACCATTCAGTCAGTCATCACTCATCCGGTTGCTCAACCTATCTTTCACGATATTCATTGTTGAAAATACTCTTTCAACACTAGCGGTTGCTGAAAAAGCTACTTCCATTAGCTTTTTCTTCAACAGGGTTATAGTACCTCTTCATTACCTTTATTGCAAATAACGGGATGACTAATTACTACACAAATATTAATTAACTTAATAATTAGATTAATAATAACAAGTCACAAGCAAATTCATACTATAAATGATGATTACAATCTACAAGTTTACAAATAATAATCAAATTTACATCAAGCAAAGTTGTAATTTAGTCTTTAACTTGAATTAAAACACAATAAAATTAAAAGATTAAAAAGAAATACCTCAAGCACCGAGGATTTAGCCCTTAGGCAAGTAGGCAGCACCTCAGCCTTTGGGGTTTAGCCGAACTCGCTGAAGCATACTGACCGTCCGAGACTCCGAGTGCTGAGCTGTCGCCTGAGCCACCGTGCACCGTTCGGTGGCCGTCCGGCAGCGACTGAAGTCTGAAGATGGTCGAAGTCGCCGTTTTTTGCCTTTGGGGTTTTTCACTTTTGCGGCAATCCTTGGACCCTGGTTCCGCCTAAGCCGCCGAAGCAGTAAGGAAGAAAAGAAGCGGACTGCTTTTTGGATTGGGCCTGATTTTTTTAAATTGAGACTGTGCCTAATATTTGAACCTCTATACTAGTTAAAAAAATAAAAAATTGAGCATGGGCCTAGGCCCTCCCTGGCCATAGGCTCAATCCAGCCCGGGAGATAGTGAAGGGGAGGATTATATTTATTTGGGCTAGTGGACAACTTAAGAAGCAATGTCGTAAATATTTGAGGGAAAGACGTGTCAAACATTGTGCTTTTCCTAAAGATTTGTCTATTCGTTGGAATAGTATTTATAACTTAATTGCTGTACTTATTAGATTTAAAGACAATTTTCCTGCTTTTTTAAAAGAATATGCTAACTATATTATAAACCCGGCTGACATCGACGCTATGCAAAAAATTGTGAATGTTTTATTTTTTAATAATGCAACTCAAACTTTTAGTCATGTTTATACACCTACCACAAACCAATTTTTTTGTTGAAGCTGTTAATCTCGCCGGCGCTTTTTGTGAATTTTCCTATGCCGCTTACGTTAGTTATTTTGTTCTTTCATGAAAGACAAGTTTTTTAAAATATTATTCACATATTCTGCATATATATGGTATTGCGTTTATTCTTGATCCTCGTTTTAGACTAGATGCTTTGGGAAAATGTTTAGATTACTATTGTGCTTCTTTTTTTCGTCCATTGCCTATGTACGATGATAAGGCCATAGAGCTTAAACAAGAATACAATGAGGTTAGTAATTTATTTTATCATTTATTTAATGAGTTTCATGCATAATATGGTAACACACCCCCTCCCCCGACACGAACATCTTCATCTAAAGGAAAATCATTTTTGAAATCTACATTTGGCAATTTTTGAAAACAAGTAAATCAACCCCCGTTACTGAACAAAGCTCGATTAACAAACTTTCTATGTATCTAACATTTCCTGTTGAGTATGAAGAAGAGGATGACTTTGACATTCTAAAGTGGTGGAAGAAAAAAGAAAAAACGTTTCTGGTTTTATCAAAGTTGGCTAAGCAAGTGCTAGCATTGCTGGTATCAACAGTTGTCGTGGAAAAATAATTTAGTGCGGCCGGCAATGTGCTAACGGATTATAAAACGAGATTGAGCGCAAACTCTCTTAAGACGCTTGTTTGCTTCCACGATTAGTTGAAGGCCCAACGTAGAACTCAAGAAGTGAGCATCGCCCCCACCCACCACTTTATGGAGGAAACAACCGAAGATGGCGGAGATTCCGATTGATTATTATTTATTAGACAATGTATTTCATGTTTAAATTTTTTCTCAATTCTCAATTGTACTACATATTTCAAATAAATACACTTTAACTTTTTTATATCCAGCAATTCTTGAATTAATTTATAAACAACATAAAAAAAATAGCTCGGACCCGGCCTGACCGACCCGGTACCCGGCCGGGTAGACCGGCCCGACCCGGACCTGGTAGCTACCCGGGCCTGTTCCGGGTCTCAACAAAACAAAAAAAGCCCGCTTGGGCCCAGCCCGAGGCCTGTCCCGGGTCCATACCTAACCAAAATAAGGAAGGTTAAAGTTTTTTAGCTGATACTTGTATGATAACGTTGTTGTAGATGGTGATTTTAACTAGTTTTCATATGATTTTTTCTTTATTCTATTAATAAAAAATATTGTAATTTGTTTTTTATAATCGTAAAAAGGATCAATAAGCCCTTCAACTATAATAAATCAATCACATAAACCCATCTACTAATAAAACCATCACTTACACACATTTACTTTGTAAAAAGAATCGATCTGACCAAATTTACCGGAACTGAACTCTCTTTGCCGGTTAAAACACAAGTTTGACTTCTTCCTTTTCTTCTTGTCTTTTCATCTCTTTCTCTTGCTTCATTCTTTCCCAGCTTTTTTCAACTCCACCGTGCTTTTACATCTTATCCCCATTCACTCACACACACACACATCATCCTCCAGTCTTGGAACTTAAAATAGAGGGGAAAGAAGGTTTCGATGATTTGCTACCTACTTCTCCTAGGCTTCTAGGGACACAGGGTGTTGACTAACGATGGTAATCCTGTGGTGCGCATCCATGGATGAACGGCCGAAGACTAGAATTCCATTGACACATCTTTGTCTAGGTTGCGGTGGCGGTGGATGGGTTGGGAGAGATGGAGAAGGAAGACTGATAATTCAGGCGATTTTCCTTCGTCACTTGAATAATTCCGTGGATGAGAACAATTTTCGGTAAGGGAAGGTCACTCCCTCAGGAGTCAGGACGTTCATTTCTCTACAGAAAATTGATTAGACCTCATGAAAGCAAATTGATTTTACAATCTACAGAAAAAGGATGAAAACAAAAAAAGGAACGAGATAACACAAAGGGTAATGAAGCGGACGACTTTGATATTCTCCAATGGTGGAAGACTCACGAAGGGATGTTTCCGGTTTTATCAAAAAATGGCCAAACAAATGTTGTCGATGCTGATTTCAACTTTTGACGTGGAACAAGAGTTTAGCGAAGCCGGTAACGTTTTGAGTGACTATAGAACGAGGTTGAGCGCTTCATCTCTTGAGACACTCGTTTGATTTCATGATTGGTTGAAGGCCCGCCCGTAGAACATAAGAAGTCAACATAGCACCGGAACGTCATTTCATGGAAAAAACGATGACCGACGCCGGAAGCGGCTTCGACGAATAGTTCATGTATTGTAGTTTTCAACTTTAAACTATTCTCAATTGTAATTTTCAAATGTGCAATAATAATTTTTTTAAAAAATTAAAGGACCTGACCAAACCGGGACTGGACTGGAACCGGACCGGAACTGGGGTAGACCGAACCGGGACCGGATCCGTTGAAATCTGAGTCGGTTCCGGTCTTCACAATTAATGCCCGAGACCAGCCGGTCCGGGACCGGGTCCATCCCTATCATTACCTCAGTGCCGTAAAAGCTTCCACCTAGAGTGGGTGGGGTAAGAGGATCAGATGTATGCAGACTTATTCTTGTACTAAAGCACAAAGAGAATGTTTCTGAATGACTCATAGTGAAAATCGCGTTAAAAATTGTATAGACTGACTATTGCTTTATTACAAAGAAGCATAAACAGTTTAGTGAACCATTTTGTTTTGTTTCATCATATTCCCAAACCAAGAAATAGTTTGATTGCAAACGATGGAGAAAATGAAATGTAGTTATTTTTTTATGAAATGTAGTGATTATTTAAAATAGATTTTGATTAATGTTTTTTCTTAAATATTACTAATAACAAAGTCATGCATAAAAATGTAACTTAATGCGGAGTAACTATTAGTAATTTAATAACAATTATAGTCTGTAATAGTTACTAAATTACATTTTTATCTATCACTTTTTAGGAGTAATATTAGTAGTTTTTTTTTTTCATTTTAACTTTCTTTCATTTCTGTCTCTCTATATGTTTTGTGATGCAATTTTCATCGAAAATAACTAAAACCAAATAAGTGAAGTCTAAACTTAATGATTTTCATTTTCAGTTATTGATTCTTCATAGCTAACACATCTTTTCAAATATAAATGGATTTTTATCTATAGGGGGTTTTCTTGTCTGTCCATTGACACGTCATAATCATAATGAGTAACAGTTTATGTATTTCTTTTCAAGAAATGTTTTTAACTTTTAACCAATCCAGTTATTTCAATTGCAAATTTGCTACTCAATAGATGCAACCATTTTAAGCAACTCCATTGTACAAAATGGGCATTAAATACGGTGTTTATGAAAACCTCTTGTTGCTTGGCATTACTTAAGTGAAGATACACTTTTATCAATTAAAGTATTACACCAACATATGGGTGATTGACTTAATAAATACTGGACGAACATTTCCCTGCTGGTTGAATGCAAAATAAACTGTCATTCATGCATGCATGCATGCATTCTTGCATACAGATGCAATGTAGTACCCTATTAAAACCAGGTACATATGCCTACATACAAAAACTTCAGAAAATCATTACAATGACAAGATTACTTGGACAGCCTGGCCATTCTTGTTTTTGTATTTTTTCTGTTATTTTTAAAATTACAAAAGGCCATTTACAGGCGATGTGCTAAACACCACTGGCATGCCAACTCCATCATTGGCGTTGCTGCCCTTCCGCCGTGGTTTCGCCTCTCTAAGCATCGATAGGACGTCCCTCATGGAAGGTCTGTCCTTGGGTAGCTTTGCAGTACAAAGTAAGGCAATTCTCAGGACTAGCAGCATCTCTTCCCGTACGTGTTTGTTGTTACCCACACTCGGGTCCACTGCCTCCTCTAGCGATCTGTTGTCTCTGATTTTCATGCGCATCCATTCTACAATGTCCACTGAATCTCCAAATTCAGGCTCTAATGGCCGTTTTCCTGTTACAAGCTCCAGAAGCACAACCCCGTAACTATATATGTCGCTCTTCTCGTCAACTTTAGAGGTGTACCCATACTCTGCACAGAGAATAATTAGCCAATAATAATTATTGACATCTAAAATTTCATCTTAAAATATCAAACTCTCTTAACAGGAGCGGTCCTAGCTAGAATGTCTAAACAAAAACTCTCACTTCTCACTTTTACTTGATCCAATAGTTTTTTAGTGGAAATTAAGAGTTAAGTAGAGAATCGTGTACAAAAAAAGGTATGATTTTTGTACACTATAGATGAGATAGATCATGAAAATGTACGAAAAGCTGAGAAAAGAAGATACAAAAACAAGAATACTTGAGTTTCTATATAATGGTTGTTGCCAAAAAATGGAACTCAGAACAAGGAAAGTGGAATGCGTAAAAGTGAAACGGGTAGTATATAACAATACATATGAGTTAAATCCGGTGATTAAATGATAATCTAACAAAATGTACCCGCATAAAACTCACCAGGAGCAATGTATCCATAAGATCCCACAACCATGGAAACCGTCTCATTCTTGGTGAGCATAATCTTCGCCAGCCCAAAGTCAGCAATCCTTGCTTCAAGATTCATATCAAGCAAGATGTTGTTTGACTTCACATCACGGTGAATGATGGCCGGGTGGCAATCATGGTGGAGGTATGCTAGGCCTTGTGCCACCCCGACACCTATGTTATACCTGTTAAAGAAAGTGTCCCACATTCAAATATCAGAAAACAACATACTACCTATGAGTTTGTAAGATCTTAATATTCGACTAGCTACCTTGACACCCAGTCCACTAGGAGCCTTTTACAATGTAACGCTTCCCCAAGGCTGCCGTTCTCCATGTACTCATATACTATCATTGCCTCTCGATCATTGTGCAGGAATCCTAGTAGTCTCACCACATTTCTATGTCGTAATCTTCCCAAGACGTTAACCTCACCTACCACGTCTTCGCTTTCTGATGATCCCATCTCAATAATGTCTCTTGCAGAATGCCATAGTTTCTTAACCGCAACAGTTGTGCTCAGTCTCTGCATCTCAGCTTTATAAACCACTCCCGTTGCTCCCTTTCCTATCACATTTGATTCTTTGATGCATGCCAACACCTCTTTACTTGTGAACCCTATTCTTTGGAACGCCATCAACCTCCACGGCCACTCTCCATCTCCAGTTTCTAATCTCTCCTCCAAACAACTCCCATTCTCATACCATCTTTTGTAAATGAATCTTAGCCCAAAACCGATGACAACTACAGCTATGAGTGCAGAAATCCCAATAAGGAATACTACAATGTGTTTCTCATGAAGACCTCTGTGCCTTGACATGTTCTTGGAGCATGGGGGGAGCACTCCTCCACATAGACCAGAATTGTCCCGGAGATCATTCGGATTTATTGTCCCGAGCATTTCATTGTCAGGGATGGGACCGTCAAGGTTGTTGTAAGACACATTGAGTGTTTCCAAGGCCGGAGAGTTCCCGAGGTTGAAAGGTATCCTACCCGTAAGGGTGTTGTTTGAGAGATCGAGAATGGCTAATGTGGGCATGTTGGCTATTGCTTCTGGGATCGCCCCGTTTATTCTGTTGTTGCTTAGATTCAACTTCACCATCTTCCCACATGAAGATATGCTGGGTGGAATGTTTCCAGAGAGACGATTTGAGGAGAGGTCGAGGACTGAGAGGGAAGGGCAGCCCTGGAAATGATCCGGGATTTCTCCCTCCAGATCATTGTTCGAGGCGATGAAGTTCTGAAGAGAAGGATTGGTGAAAATGGATGAAGGAAGACAGGATTGGAGACGGTTTTGGGAGAGATCAACGAAAGAAAGAGAGGAAGCTATGTCGGTAGGGATTTGGCCAGAGAGACTGTTGTTTGCGACTTCAAGCCTCTGGAGATTCCCGAGCATGGCGAAACCGGGCGGGATCGTCCCCGAAAGGAGATTATTTTGGATCCTAACCCTAACCAGGGAACCACATTTGGATAACCCGGGCGGAATAGGGCCAGAGAAAGCATTGTTGAACAAGATAAGCTTGGTGAGTTTACCTTGGCTGCAAATCCATGGAGGAATCGGTCCGGAGAAGGAATTGGAGGAGACGTCTATCCATTCCAGAGGAGACTTCAGGCCGAGGTCACTCGGCAACGGGCCAGAAAAGCTGTTGTTCCATAGCTCAAGAACTTCTAATCGGGCCAAGCTTGAAATCCCATCGGGTATCGAACCCGACAACCCGTTCCGCATCAAGCTCAATAGCTCCAAGTTCTTCAGGTTTGAAATTTCTGGAGGAACTTCGCCTGACAACATATTATCAGAGAGATCCAGCTGCTGCAGTGATTCCATCTTCCCAATCTCTGCCGGAATTTCTCCTTCCAAACCGTTCTGGAATAAGAACAGCGTGTTCAACATCTTCAGATTTCCAATTTGGATTGGGATTTTCCCGCCAAGATTCGCGACTGCCAAATCCAGATACCTGAGATTCGTCAGATTCCCGAACTCCGCGGGAATCCCACCTTCAAACGCATTGTATCCCAGAACCAGTGTATCCAACGAAGAAATCTCTCCGAGCTCTTTCGGAATCGGGCCGGTGAGATTGTTCCCGGAAAGCCCTAAGAACTTCAAATTCCCCAATTTCCTGTAAGAAACCGGAATGGAGCCCTCGAAAAAATTCCCTCTGAAATCCAAACTCTCGAGAAGCGTTGCGTTTCCAAGATCATCGGGGAGATAACCGGAGAAGTTGTTACTAGAAGAATTCAACGATATCAGTCCAGAGCCTAACCTTCCGAGGCCGGACGGAAATCCGCCGGAGAACGAGTTGTGGCTCAGATCAATGACCTGTAGTGAAGTGAGACTGAACAGAGATTCCGGCAACGTAGATGAGAACCCATTGCATGAAATATTCAAGTAACTTAATCTTTTGAGGGAAGCGATTTGATCCGATATCCCGCCGCTTAGATTCAAGCCGGAAAGGTCAAGCTTTTCAACAGCTCCATTAATGGTGGAGCTGCATCTCACTCCAGTCCACTTGCAGTAATCAGAACCATTCACTGGCAATCTCCAGTCTTTAAGCTGACCAGTCGGATCAACCAGACCCGCTTTTAGCAACAGCAAAGCAGACACTTCATCATCTCCCTCAACCTTATAAGAAGAAGAAGAAACAACAATGCTGAAGAAGATGAAGCACAATGTCACAGGTGACTTCATTTTCTTTAATCTTCTACTAATACCAGTAATTAATGTGAGATGAATGAATAAAAATCTTGTCTTACTGTTCCATGATTAAGGATATATAGCCTGCAACAGAGATGTGAATCAATTAAAGAAGATTATATTGAGTGATTTGGGTTCAAACTAATAAAAAAACAAGTGTACAGCAAATCATCACATGGGAAGCATAATTAACTCAATGATTATTAGCATTCTCGTGAGATCTTGAGATTCGGCAACAGTAGCTAATTTTCAAATTATGACGGTGGGCTTTTGTGGGACTGGTTTTTAGACTTTAAATGAAAATTAATTACAGTTCTTGGACAAGGTAATGAAAAACAAATGGGTAGTGCTAAATTAATGGTCAACAAAAGAAAGAAAAGAAAAAGAAAACACGATGTGTGAGTAAAATCATATTCCACCAAACATCATATCTTTACATTCTTTTTGAGCATTCTAGCAGCAATCATGCGCCAGTCAAATAGGTTAAGTGATACTCCGCCGTAAGTGTCAACTAAGATCCGGAAGAAGATCGACCATTTTTTATGTACACATTCTTGTACACATCTTATACACACCATGTTTGTGAAGCTTTTTTTTTGTCTGTGAATCCGGTTCACAGACAATATTTTGTTTGTGCAAAACATTGTCTGTGAATCAATGTTCACAGACAAAAAAAAGCTTTCACAGACATATGTGTGTACAAAAGTGTGTATAAGAGTGTGTACGAACATCATTTTTGGGAAGAATATATACATCAAGATATAACTCTATATGTTTATCACTTGACTGACTTTCATTCATTTTTATTTTACTCATATTTTACAAAATTCATTATAATTTCACGTTTTTTTGTCGATCCTAATAGTTAGATAAACATATTACTCCCTTCCTTCCAAAATGATGGTTCTGTATTTCCTATTTGGGGTGTCCCAAAATGACAGTCACCTTTCTCTTTTTAGCAAAGAAATTAAAGCAGACTATCATTTATACCCCTCCTTTTTAATGAACAATAAAAGTAAAAGAGTGAACAGTACAATAAAGTAAGGTTATATAGGTCATTCTACCACTTTTTCTTAATATTTGAACAAAAAAGTATAGGATCGTCAATTTGGGATGGAGGGAGTAGAAAGAAACAACACATGTTGTGGGATGATCAGGCGGATTCTAACATTTTTTTAATCCGAATCCAATTTTACAAAAAGACCCTTAAGTACCATTAAAAATAAAAAATCCACAATAAAACATAAACATTTTATTATCATAAATTTAATGTCAAACCACCTAATTAAAGACATGTGTCTCATAGTTCATTACTCAGGTATATACTCCTTTGGTTTCAAGTAAAAGTTTTTCTCTACTACTCTATTTTTCAGGTCAACGTAAATCATTCTTGCATGCTATATATTTTCTTCAAAAATGATGTTTGTATCCACTTTTGTACTCACTCATGTTTGTGAAAGTTTTTCTTTTTGTCTGTGAACATCGATTCACAGACAATATTTTGCACAAAACAAAATATTGTCTGTGAATCGGGTTCACAGACAAAAAAGCTTCACAAACATTGTGGGTATAAGGGTGGGTACATCAAGCATTGTTATATTTTCTTGCAGGCTAAAATAAACAGGGATGTGTTGATTAAAAATCTTGTCTTACTCTTCCATGATTCAGGTTAAAGACATCTATAGTATGCATCAAATTTTGCTGATTTTATGTTTAAATAGTGTTGATTTTGCAGAAGTTATAATTTTTTACTCGTAATGAGTTGCGAGAGCTATAATATATCAAATCGAAGATACTTTAGAGCTCTATACTCTCAAATTTTCAGCGGGGTCGGCTGACCCCCTGATCCCCCTTGGCTTCGCCCTGGGCCCCGAGGCAATGACCTCTTTGCCTCATATAAAGGTTCAACCCTGGGGACGTTACGAGTAACAGCCGTTTGGTAATACCGAAATCTAATGAATCAATTATTTTGCTGAAATTTATGAAACTCTGGCTGATTTGACTGATTCTGCTGATTTATGAAAAAATTATATTTAAAATAATTTTTATTAATAAAATAAAGAAAAAATTAAATAAAAATAGCTAAAATTGTCATCTACAGTAACTTCAGCCTATATAACTAGAAAAACAACCTCAACATTATTTTTTCCTATTATTATAGATTTCAACGTGAGAAATCAAAAGTTATGTGTTTAATGAAAATTGGCTCATAAGCATGATGAGCCGAAAGAATGATCACCAAACGGGGTCCAAGTCAAAGTTTCATTACTTTGAGCTACTAGAATAAAAACATACATTCCCTCTAAGGGGTCGTTTGGTTCAGGAAATGTCAGATTATCACGGGAATGTAAACTACGTTTAATTGTAAAAAGTTGTAGATCCAATTCAAAAGTGAAAAAAACTTTGTTCAAATAGTAATCTAAATATACTTATTATTATTTCGAAAAAAATAAATTTAAAAATGTTCAAGTTATTCATAAAACTTATTTTCAAAATTAAAGAAAAAATGATCAATTTTGCCATTAATTTTGAAATTCACTCATCAAAAACATAAATAATCTATAAGTCTTATAAAATAAATACCTAAAAAAAATTAAATGTTAAGGAAAAAAGAATTATGAAAATAACAAGAATAGACATTCGAATATAGTTAATTAAATAAACATACTCCATCTGCCCCACTTAAAAGGTTGTCACACAATCTATGATCGACTGACCATAAAATTAATTGATCTCTTTCAATAATAAAATTATTTTTTAGTAAATAAAATTTACAAATTTAGAAACTACATTAAAAGTTTTATAAAATCGCACTATATAAAGATATTAAATGAAAAGAGATAATTAATTGAGGGTATTTTCGGAAGAAAATTAGACCATCCCCGGGAATGTAATATAACCTAAGGCATAGATGGTTATAAGATTCCCCTCCATATTACATTCCCGTGAATGTAACTTTTTCGATTTTTTCTCAAACCCGTGAACCAAACATGGGTATCTGACAATCTGTGCATCGCATTCCGGCCTTCATGTGAGATTACCCCAAACCAAACAGGCCCTAAGAGTTTATATCCATTTCTATATATGATTAATTGACTTTTATTCCCTCCGTCCTGAAAACAAGTTCCGTGTTTGACTTCACGAGTTTTTAGCTAGAATAAGAAATAAAGTGAGGCAAATGAAGTGATGTGAGGATAAAATGGTAAATGAATAATAAAAACTTACCAAATATAGAAATATGTTGAATGTGGAACTTCATTTTGGAACATTCTGAATAGAAAAGGTGGAACTTATTTGCGGAAGAGAGAGAATTAGATTAGACCACATCTTAATTGGTCAAAGCAGACTAGAACATTTTGGTTCAATAGAAATTTTTGTAAATTGAAAAAAAAAAGTAGTTTGAAAGTCTAAAACCATCACTTCCAGGGGCGGAGTTAGGGGTGCCCAGGCTAGGCCATGGCCCACCCCAAATTTCAAAAATGTCAATATTTTTAGTGTAAAAAATTTCGTGTAAATTTTTGTCTAATAATATTCTTTGTACCGGTCCAGTCTGACCCAAAGCCCTGGCTCCACCCCTGTTCACTTCTGAGTACATAGGATTTGATAGTAATGCAAAAGAGGGGATAAATTAAAATTATCTCGTGTCGGTTATTGTTAATTAAAAGACTCATCTAACGTGCTAATAAGGAGCAAGCCATATTTGATGTTTTGAAAAACTTAAATATGAATTTAATGATTAAAGAAAACTTTTTATATGAGTATTTTTTACCATTATCAAGAGTAATGTTCGAATACTAAAAAGTGGGATAAAACTTTAAATTAATTACAAAACTGCATTACAAAAACTAGAAAATTCGCAAATTATACCGTGGGATCGGCTCACCTTCCGCATGGTGTGCCGATCCCACTTTAGGCAAGTTGTTTTTCTTTTTCTTTCTTCCAAGAGCAACGTAAATCCCTTTTCCATTGCTTTTCTTTCTTTATTTTTCTTTTGTTCAATTCTTTTCTTTTCCATCAAATTAAAATACTAAAAATGTAATGGCAATCATAGTTTTCTTTATCTTCATCTTAAATTATAATTAAATCTATTTTTTTAATTCTTTATCAATGCATAACAAAAAGTTTATTAATCTAAATAAAATAAGTATATTGCAATTAATATTCATACACTATTATTGTTTTTGTATTAATTTTTATATTCATATACGGAGTACTTTTTTTGTAATATACTTTTTATATTCATACACTTTTTTGTTATATTTTTTATATGGACAAACTTTTTCTATAATATAACTTTTTTATCACTTTTATATATTTTTAGAGGTTTTTAAGACATTGAGTTTGTTTTTTTTGATTTTTGAAGTTACATTTGATATTATATCATGAATTTATATCTTCTTCCACGCAAGTTACATCTTATGGTACGCGAGTTACATCTTAATATACGCGAGTTACATCTTAATGTGTGTGAGTTACATCACAGAATAAACCCCTGCTATATCATTTTTATAACTCTAATATTAAACATAAAACATATTCACTATTTTAAAAAGTAATTAAGCTATTAGGATCAATTTTTCATTGTTTTCATTGAAATAAATGTTTAATTATGACATACTCGTATATATTATTCTCAAACACACACACACACACACAAAATGTTCAATTTTTCAACAAGTTACATTCTGTATACATCTAAGTTAGAGGTATTTGCCATCAACACGATTTACATTTGAAATAACATGAGTTACATTAAAAAATCAACCCCTGCTATTGAAACAAAAAATATTTTTTTTAAAAAATTATTTTTTATGGTCATGATATTAAAAACAAAACATATTCACAAATTACCTAAAGCAATTTTGAAATTCGACTCTTTTTTCATTGTTTACATTGAAATCAATATTGTATTTTTAATACTATGTATTTGACAAGTTACATTTTGAATGCACTTGAGTTACATTAATCAATAATGTAAGTTATATATCTTTACTTGCGAGTTATATCATTCATGATACTGGGACAAAAAGAAAGAAAAAGCAGTTATTGTTCACGCATGTACTTTTCACGCGAATTTTTAAAAATAAATTGTGCAAAGCTACGTCGTTTTGGAAGTGGAGCACCATGTTCACCGTGGGATCATCCCACGGTATACGAACTGAGAAAATTAGGTACATGAAATTTAACTTGGGCTGGAGGATTTATGATATAACAGCAAACATAAGTAGATTAAATATAGAATACTCTGGGATTCAGAATCCATTATTACTTCCTTCCGCCAAAAAAAGACAATAATAATAAACAAATACTCCGTAATTAAATGGAAGAAAAGGAATGGGGTAAACCGTAAACATGGTGGAACAATGGCTAAAAGGTCAAATAGGTATATGAACTAACTTAAAGTGTTCAATTAGCTCTATATATAGGAGGTTCTGCACGGACGTCGCCAATTGTGGAAGTTCCCGGTGGAATTTTTTGATGAATTTTTTGAGAATCTTC